CTGGGTCAATAGCCGAATTAGTGACTCATTAATTGAACTGCATATCAATGTAAAAGCTTAAGAAATTCCATAACAGTAGCCCTTAATTGAACTGCATACTTCTTCACTTTTCCAAAATTAGTTGTCCACTTTCCATATTCAATATACAAAATTATGATGATTGATGAATTGTCTAATATATCCTAGTCATATGCTATATTCAAATGATGTTTTTTAAGTAAGTGGACAACTATATTCAGACAGGAGTAATTTGTTATATAATATTTATGCTTTATTATAAATATTTCTCATTATTATGATAAATATTTTGTCTGTGTGCACTTGTATCAAATTATACACATACTTGAATAATAGAACACTACAATAATGTATATTTAATCACTTAAATTTACTGTGTAGTTGAAAAAAACTATTCATTCTGTCCCAATTTGTGCCTAGTTTGACTGAACACATTTTTTAGTAAAGTAAAAACTGTCTGGTTGAAGTCTAGTAGACAATTTAAATCACACAAAAACTATAATATAGAAACAAACTCATCTTTTGGGACAGACAAAAAGGAAAACATGCAAGTTTTTGTTTTGGAATAAGGGGAATGCGCTGTGCGCATGACTTAGTGGGTTGAGTAGTGAGCACATGAGTTCGAGATGGAGGTCCTTTGTGTGAATCATGGTTGTTAAGTCGACAAGTCGAGTTGAATCGGTGAAGGGGAGACTAGTAGACTAGTTGGCCTACTAGTCGTAGACTAGTCTACAAATCACAATTAGTATTGAAATTTTTAACATTATATATATCTTCAGTCACCCAAGATAACTCTATATATTTGTATGACAAAATATCATTACCAAAATAAAATTATGTTTAAAGGTACAACATAAGGTCACTAAAAAATTAATAAAACTGAAAAATTAAGAGTATAATATACTTTAATAGTCTAATGAACCAAATTAAAAAAATAAAACCGAATTAAGAGTATACTTTAATGATAAATAATTAAAGATAGTGAGATGTTACTTATGGATAGAGAGCGTGTGAGTACTAGAAGATGAAGAAGAATCAATTCCAAAAAATTGATTTTGGAACTGCGAACTCTGGAAGATGTCGATGAAGGAGATGCCGCGATTTGGGAATAGTTAAATGTCAATTCACTGGATTTTGATTGTGCTGATTGAACTGATCGAGGGAGGTTGGGTTTTATTGAGTAATTTTTAAAGTTTAATGAAATTTGGGTTGGGATGGGGGGCAGGTTTTCTTTATAGACTAGTCATTGCCTAGGCGTGCCTAGGCGTCGCATAACCCGCCCAGTTGCCTAGTCTACCCTAGTCGCTAGTCGACGTGCAAGTCGCCATTCAGAAAACGCCCGGACGACTAGTTGGCAACTAGTCGTTGACTAGGCGACAACTTGACAACAATGGTGTGAATCCCACATGCCTGAATTATTTTAGTTTCTGGTAATCATCTCAAAATACAAAAGTAAGACCTTTTCAATGGATTCCCAATTTAATCCTGAAAATCGGCCTGCTGGAGCCGGTTAGACATGGGTCAATTGAATGGCCGGTCCAACATAACACACTATTCCATCTCAGCCAGTTCAAGTTTAAAACATGGATTACAACTACAAGCTTAACTTTTAGCCTTGTCCTGGTTTGCTGTTCAGCTTTAAATTTTGTAAGGAACATGAATTAACAATACAAAGAATTTAATATGATTGATGTTTGCCGACTTGCAATAAATGGCCTCATCTTTTTCTGATAGTGGCAGTGATGAACTCATGATTTCTGTAGGTTGTCTTAGTCTTTCATTTGGTCATATTTTTCTTTCATTTTATGTTCTTTTCTATCCATTACCAAGTGTTTCAAGCCATTCCTTGGTTTTTATTTGAACAAGTCAATTGCATACCAGGAGAAGCCTAAAGATCGTTCACCCCTGCAACCTGTATGCATGCACATGCAACATATGTTTGGAACTTTGGATGCAATTTCATGTTCAATGTTATAGAAATTGCTTCACGCCTAGTAGACGTTTTCCGTTCTGCTTCGTTTACATGGGATACAGAACCTATGTAGTTTCCGCAAGTGAATTGAGACTCAACTAGATTAAATGCCAGTTGACCTGTATCTTTTTGCAAAAATAAAAATAAAAAAGTGCTCTAAGAGAAAGTATTATTTTGCTGTCTTGGTTCTGGTTGGACGCACAAGTTTCAAAAATAGAATTGGCGCAACTCATTTTTTGTTTCTTCCTGTATAAAACTGCACTTGAACTTTCTAATTTTCTTGTTTTTTCTTACACTTGTGTCGGTGCAGGGCCGGGGAGAATGTTTTGGTAGGATTACCATTGAAGCGATGGCTTTTCAGCTTCCTGTGTTGGTAATTGACTAATTGCTATTTGATTCTCCCAACTGATCCTCATATGCAACTCCATTCCGCAGTTTGCTAAAAAGTTAAAAATTCACAAAAATTCCTTAATAAGACTAAGCTAAATAGTACGTTATAGATTTGTGGATATAATTGATTAGACAATGGTTGGTAAAAATTCCCCCATTCATGTCTAATCTTTTAGGTGTTACCACGTAAAGGGTAGGTTGGTAAAAATCCCTCCATTTATGTCTGAGATGATAAAATATTCATAGCTTGGAAGAAAGCCTCTGTTAGCCATTTTGCAAAAAACTGAATTGCAGGGAACATCAGCTGGCGGTACACAAGAAATTGTTCTGAACAAGACAACTGGTTTGCTACACCCTGTTGGAAAAGAGGGCATAATGCCTCTTGCCAGAAACATGGTCAACCTTGCCTCTCATGTTGAGAGGAGGCTCACGATGGGTAAGAAAGGCTACGAGAGGGTAAAACAAGTGTTTCTGGAGCGTCACATGGAAGAGCGAATTGCTTCCGTTTTGCAGGATGTGCTTCAGAGGGCAAGAACGCCGCGCGCTCTGAGTGTAAAGAGAGTAAATTAAGAGCACACAGGTTGTAGTTGTAGGCTTTCTTTAAGGGCAGATGATTGATATTTTATGCTTGCTGATTTGTATAGACTGTTAAATGGCATTTTTCTGGAAACCGAAATATAAACTGACCAATTCTCAGCATTATTCTAATAGAGTTGTTTTTCTCATTGTTTTGCTCCACACCCTGCCACTAATTTACAATTAAATTCCAATTTACTTTCTCTCTGTGACCATCCGGCCGGGCCTAAGAGGACCTCAGAAATGAGGCCCATCCTTTCTTTTTGGGAAAGATTTAACCACAAATTGAAGATAAGGCCACTTGATCAAGCACCCCTCTCCTTCTTGAAGTACTAGTGTATATGCCAAAGGGATTAGACTAGAAATAGTAAATAACTTGGGTACCACATTGAGAAATTGGACACGACTGCGAGATTATTCAATAATTGTGCATGCAGTGTCGGGACCAACAGGAAAATACTAGCAATCCTAGTTGGATAAATCTATAATCACACCAATTATTGAATAATCTTGCAGTCTGTCCAATTTCTCAATGTGGTACCCAAGTTATTTACTATTTCTAGTCTAGTACCTTTGGCATATACACTAGTACTTCAAGAGGGAGAGGGGTCCTTGATCGAGTGGCCTTATCTTCAATTTGCGATTACATCTTTCCCAAAAAGAAGGGACGAGCCTCATTTTCGAGAGTCCTCTTAGGCCCGGCCAGTTGGTCATTGGGAGAAAGTAAATTGAGATTTAATTGTAGATTGGTGGCAGGTAGGGAGTAGAACCTGCGTTTGGTAGTTGCAGAGGTCCTCCCAGGGCAGCTTCCAGGAATCGAACTTGGGTTTTTTCCCTTAGCACTTCTTGCCTTTGTCAATTGCTTAATGCCCACCGACGTGATTTCATCTTTCGTGGGGGTTTGCGTGATTGATCTTTGATTTTGGTTTTGGTTTGATGATGATCAACTTTTCCGTTGACTCCTAAACTACTTTTTTCTTAGGTTCACTTATGAATTCATGAATACTCTTAATAGCTATTTCCTCCGTGTCCATTTAAATTGTGCATTTCGATTTACGACAGTTGACTAAAATTATTTTTCTATTTAATTTATATGAGAATTGAGGTTCAATTAAAAAATATAGTTTATATATTTAAAAGCTACATTTAAAAATCTATAAAACAAAAGGTGACATGACTATTTTTTTTGAAGGAAATGACATGACTATATTTTTCAAATGAGTATTGAAAATGGGTGACAAAAATTGTTTAACTTTGATCATGTAAATAGTGAATATGCAACTTAAATTAAGACGGAGTACGTACAAAAATATTTATAAAATAAAAATGATAAACACTTGTTCTTTTCTTGGTTAATTTGTTTACGGAGTATATCAGAACATCCGTGCATTATAATATTATTATATGGACTTAAAGTCCATGGAATAAGCATTCGAGAACTCCAAATTTTAAGGTATATTTTTTTTACAGAGTATGTATCTAAGAAGAATCTCACATAGTTCTGTAAGTGTTTCCGTTAGATGTTATGATAATAATTTTTTTATTTTCTTTTTTAATTTGTTTATGTGGAAATGCACAATTTCCTTTTTGTGTCTACCTATCATTTGTAGTGTTGAACTAAGCGTTGAAGAGGGTGTTTGACAATGCACTACTTTTAATAATTTAGCTTCTGCTTCTCTGTTTGGCATGTCAGCTTCTGTTTTTTACCGCAACTATTTTGTACACAAAACGCCGTATCAGAGAAGCAGGTACGAGATACTTTTACTTTCAGCTTTTTTGGAAATCACTTTATCCAAAAGTTAATCACTCTCAAACATACCCGAAGAGGGCTTAGAGGAATGGTCCGAGGCAACGTTTATTTTTCTTGTTCCTTTTATAGTCTTCCATGATTCGTTTGAATTAATATATTCCCAAATCAAGTTAAGGTTGTTAATTTCAAATGTTCCCCTATGTGTTATGTTCTTCCTTGTGAGTTGTACTTGTGTTTGTACTTGCACATGTGACACATGTTTGTTTTCTCATACTTGCCTATGTTAAAAAAGAGAGAATCAACTTCATCCTTGCAATTCCACGAAGACCGACCTAACGATTGACAGGAATGAAATAAATTGAATAATAGTGTACCGGTTTGTGAAGAAAAAAAGATGCACGTCCTTGACACTTGCATGAGTATTATATCATGCATATACATGGTTGCCTTTCATTGCAGTTGTCAGATGTCGATCCCATTATTACACAAAATATTTATTATGTCTTGTTTGTGTGCCATATTTCTTTAACTCTACATGAAATTCATGGTTTATTTACTCCGTAATTAATACTCGAAGTCTTCTAATTTATAATTAAATAAATGGGCGAGTATACTACTAGTGTAACAAAAGGAATAATTACCATCAAACTTTCTCAAATTAAGTGTTTAAAAAGGACGTTTTAAAAACGAGATCACAAGTAGTGAAAACTAAGAACATCCCAATGTTAGTCTTGAGAGAATCTAAGTGAGAGTCTTAAGACTCTTTTCTCTACACTTTACTATTGGGGTATATAGAAAATGAGAAAAGTCTAGAAGGAGTCTTGAAATTTCTAGACTCACTTTTAAGACTTCTAACTCAATCAATCTAATAAAAATCAGACACGTGTAATCAATAACAATTTTTTTAATAACAAAAATTAATTACAATTATTTTGTAATAAAAAAACCAATCTTCTCAATTGAAAAAAAACCATTGTCAATTATGTCTACTTATATACTTTTATTTTGTTAATCTTTTATTTTTATTTAGTGTAACTTTTATTTTATGCAATTTCATATTTAAAATTTTTATGTTTGACATTCTCTTAAGAATCAACCAAAATGGAGCGATTTAACATTTTAATTATGTCTACTTATGTAATTTTTATTTGTTTTGCTTTTAATTTTATTTCATGCAATTTATATTTTGTGTGTTTACTCAAAGGACTTTAATGAAATGCCCTAGTTTTATTTTATGTATTTTATGTGTGTTAATTTTATATAATTTTCTTTAATTTTATGTTGATTTTTTAATGATTAATTATATTTATAAACAAATTTCGTAGAAAAATGTATATTACAATTATATATTAGATAACTAATTAAATATAAATAAAAGTTATTAGAATAAAATATATTGACATACTGATGTGACAAAGTCTGAAAGAGTGAGAATTATGGTAACTTTTCTGAATGTCTGGAGAAAATTCTGAAACAATAGAATGCTAACATTACAGAGTCTAAGGGGGGTGTATTCAATTGATATTTTAAAATACTTTGATAGTTTTTTAGAATCCATTGATTATATGAAATCCATAGATTGTTTTAATTCTATGCGGAATTGGATAGATTTTATGTATTTTATGAGAAAGATTTTAAAAGATTTTTTATGGGGGTGTGTTCGGGTCGGGGCGAGGTGGGGGATTTACTGGGGGGTTAGGAGAAGTAGGAACCGTCAATTTTACGAACGGAGCACCGGAGCGCTCTCGGGTCATCCCATGACATTGGTTCCCAATGTCATGGGAACCAAGGGGTTTTTAATATTTATCCTCATTCCCAAAATGGAGTGAGAAATCTTCATTCTTTTCTCACTCCATTTTGGGAATGAGGATAAATATTAAAAAATAAATTTTGGTTAATTGGAAAGCATGCAATTGGCCCCTTTTGTTCCCAATACTCTGCTGCAGGCCTCCATCTCCAAAGTGCAGCCGCAGACCTCTATATTCATACAAAATCTTTTAAAATCTTTCTCATAAAATACATAAAATCTATCCAACTCTGCATAGTGTTAAAACAATCTATGGATTTCATATAACCAATGAATTCTAAAAAATCTATCAAAATATTTTAAAATCTCAATTAAATACACCCCCTAAAGTCTTAATCACCTCCTTTCCGGTAGGGCAGGCCGGTCCATGAGACAACGCAATGTAGACCTAGCAATCAGGTCAATTGATACGGTTCCGGTTAGGGTCTTTTTTGGGATATATGTTATAATCGGTTTGGATTAGTTCGATTTGGGTCAATTCGGTTTCGGGTTAAATTTCAATTTTTCTCGGTTTCAGATTGATTTCAGTTTGAGTTTATATCGGTCGGGGTTTATATCGGTTCAGGTTTATATTAGTTCGGGTTTATGCGGATTTCAGATGAGACCTTTAGTATTAGAATTCCTAATGTTAGGCTTGTGTGTAGCCTCTCCTCCCTATGTGATGTCTGTTACAATGTCACTATAAATTATATAAACTCTCTACACAAATAGACAACTTTAGTTTAAGTGATAAAAAACGAAGTAAAAGATTTGTACATTAAATCAAATGTGACTATAATTTAAATATGTTTTTTTCTTAGAAAGACATCAACCAATGAGCTATTAGGTATATCTGAAATTGAGTTTAATTTGTTTTGAACTTAAACAATATCGGCTCTAATCGATTTTTGGGTCTAATTAATTTAGGATTCAATCAATTTAAGGTCTAATTGATTCCGAGTTTAAACGGTTTGGATCTAACTGGTTCGGGTTCAAACGGATCCAAATTTGAATCGAGTCCGAAAATATTCAGTTCGGTTTCGATTCGGATCATGTTGGGTGTTCGGGTTTAATTTGATTCTTTAGTTTTCGAGTCATTTCGGATTCAATTCTGAGTTATTTGGTTTGGATTATCGGGTCCGGATCAATCTTTCTAGGACTAGGGAGGACCATAAAATGACAGTGAGAGGACAATAAAATAGGATTCACCCTTTTTTTCAAAGCCTTGCCTCGGGGCTCCAGCCACCATGGCTAGAGTTGGATTGACATGGCCTTGTCTATCACGCAAAACTAGGCTCGACTCTCACTCGAGTGACCCAATATGTGTTGTGCTCAGCATTAGATCAACATGGGCTCGGCATGGACGTTACAATAGATACATGCAAAGACATGCTAGAGAAAACTAGGGATGACAATGAGTCAAGTTCGGTCGAGTTTGAGTATATTGAAACCCAATCTGACTTAGGTCGGGTTCAGGTTTGATTTTGGCGGGTCGGTTTTGGATATTAATTTTTTTGGTTTGAATTTGGTTTAAGATTCGGTCGGATCGATTATGATCAATTTCGGGTTTGAATACTAATTAAAGTATTCAAGAAAAAATTAAGATTGAAATACATTAGAAATTTAAAATTTTAAAGATGACATAAAATTTAAGATATTAACAAAAATAATTATGGCCGAATGATCCTTAAAGATGTCATACTCCTGTTTGTTCCGCACGCCAGGAAGAGGGAGCGGTTGCAGATTTTTGGTCTAGGAAGGCAAAATAGGAGCGGACGAAGGCGTTTTGGGCCCACGTCTTTTTGGGGCAAGAATGGGACGTCGGTGAAACAGGAGAGATCGAACGACAGCCATCCGATCCCGTCGAGGGTGACATCGGACCAGAAATCCGCAACTGCTCCCTCTTCCCGCGCATGCGAAACAAACAATTGTAAGTTTCAAGTAAGAATATATGGAGCATAAAGAAAATAACACATGTGTGACACACAAGATTAAACCACAATATATAAAAAATGGAACACAAAAAATGCAATAAGTTCTAATACATTAAAAATATGTGCATCAAAAATACATGGAATATTAAAAACTTATTAAAAGTCGGGTACATGTTGTGTTGGTTCGGGTACAGGTCAGTCAAATATACTAACCCAAACCCAACCCGACAAAAGTTAGGTTCGGTTTGAATTTTTTCGGGTCAGTTTCGAATATTTATTTTTTCGGTTCGGATTCGGATAGAATTGCCATCCCTAGAGAGGACAGTATACTTGCTTGTAACACAAAGAATTAGGAAAAGAATAGACTGCCATGTAGTAAACAATTATTTTAATGAAGAGATACTACATTGTAGTGGAGTCAATAGAACTAAAAAACAATTATTGTCTATAACCTAAATACTATTGTGCAATGTGTATTATTATTACTTACGTAGTATTAGTATTATTATTACATCAAAACTTGCAAAACTAGTAAAAGTCTACACCGCAGAGCAATTAGCCCCGGGCACATGTGACCATTTTATTGAAATCTTAAGCTTCTAAAAAAAAATTGTTTTTGAGTGGAGCAAAAAAAAGTATGTACAAGAGCAAAATGAACTTATAGTCCATCAGAGAAGTAGTTACCCCATTGGTTTGAACTACGGCGGCGAAGTGGGCCGTGATGAAACTGCAGAAGCCTTGCAGATAGGGCACCAATTCTTCATCCTTAGCCACTGTTGAACGCACCCGAAATGATACCTATGTTCGCATTCCAACTTCCCAATCTCATCCTCAAACACATACTCCTCCTGCACACATGAAAAGAAATCGATCTAATATTCTCACATTTATTTTTGCAGCTATGATCAAATACGGGTTGGTTTGAAAAGTTAAGGGCTCACATGCATATAAAGACCCAAGACCCAAGAGGATATTCAGAAACAAATATGAAAGTGAAATGCTATTCGTTGAACTAAATGGAGTACTATATTGCAGTCTTTTACACTGCATAATCACTCCGTCCCAGGAAAACGAATCTTAGAGATGGTGACTAATTTTTGTCCCAATATTTGAATGAAAAGTGCATTTTTATATATCCAATGCTTTTTATTTAGCAACTAAGTATCCAAAACAAGTTAAATATATCAAATTGAGTGACTTTAAACTAGCAAAAAATGCACCCGAGACCCATCCTGGGGCTTTTGAAGAAGGATTTTGCAACCCAAGCCCAAAATGACCGAACCCAAAGCAACAAGCTAAAAATGGTAAAATCGTGTTGAGGTAAAAAATTCAAACAATGTACATTTTAATGTATAAATTTTTGTTTACAAATGAGTTTTTACAGTATTTTGTTGTTATTCTAGTTTTTAAAGTTTGCATAAATTTGGAGGTCGCAAGCTATTAATAATAATTTAATATTAGTTGAAAAAACTCATTAAAATTACATAAATTGTTTCACTAATACATTTTATTATTTTAGTAGATTCTTATGTAATATAAAGTCTAAAAGATTTTAATATTTTAAAAATGAATGCCCATATATAACGCGCTGAGCCTTAACACACCGGATGTCATTAACAAAACTGTTCTGACCCGAATCCGGAGCAACTCGCACCCGATGTAATCTGAACCCACAAGTTCTGAACCAAAACTTGATTAGACCAACTAGATTGCTAGCTCTAAGTTAAACTAAGAAATTTTTTAAATATATAGCTAATTAACTAGAATTTTTGTTTTTGATAGTTGTACCTTACTAAAACTTAAAAGTTTGTTGTAACTCAATAAGGGCTCTTTTAATGAGAAGGGAGGGAGTATGGGAGTATAATAGAATTTCATTCTATATTCTAATATTTTGTCGTTATCGTACTTAAGGATTTTATGATATCTTGTAATGGGTCATGACTATAAGATCTATCTAACCTAACCCACCATTTGTAGATATTTCCATTCCTAGTGAAAAACATATGATAATGGTGGTTTCACTTTTTTCAATCCTATTATTCCTGCATCAGGGATGACATCTGTCCCAAAACATCAGCATTATGCTTCTTATGATTATTTAGCAATACTTTCTTAAAAAAGTTCTATTAGATTACGTAACACTTTTAGATTTTTGTTAGAGGAAACAGTGTCAATTCATTAGTCATACTTAAATGATTACTCCGTATATAGTTTTTGTTTTACTTTCTGGTTTTAACCAAATCTATCACATTTAACTTGTTCACGATTCTTTTAAAGGGAAAATTTGAAAAAAATATCTTCTTTTGGTAAAACATATGTAGTATAACATTTCGGGGTAAAAAGGTCTTTAAACATATAGTTTTTGTTTTACTTTCTGGTTTTAACTAAATCTATCACATTTAACTTGTTCACGATTCTTTTAAAAAGAAAATTTGAAAAAAATATCTTCTTTTGGTAAAACATATGTAGTATAACATTTTGGGATAAAAAGGTCTTTAAACAGAACTCGTACTCCAGAATGGAAATTGATACAACAAATACGAAGAATTAGACAATTACGGAGTAATTGACACCAACCCCAACCCAGTTAGAAGAAATAAGGTGATGAGCTAATGATGATTATAATCATCAGCAATGTACAGCTGTGTGAAGCTTGGACATGATAATGCAGTACCTGGCAAATGCTGCATTTACTGTCATCTTCATCCCCTTTCAACCCAGCAACACCGACTTCCTTGAAAGAAACCTGATAAATGCTTCTACTAAGGCACTTTGACATTGATTCCTCTGAAAGAGCTGTGCTTACCGTGCCCATCCTCTCTCCAAGAGCTAGTAATTCCTATGAGAAGCAATAAGAAAATTAACAGAAGCGATCGACCTAGTAAAATCCCACGAATGGGGTATTAATGGGAGAGTGGTAGTGGTGGTGTACACAGACCTCACCCCTACCTAGAAAGGCAAAGATGATGTTTCCAAAAGCAAGGGGAATTAACACAATCATTAAATCAACTATGCATTTTCTTATAGAGGAAACAAATCCATTCGCTGCAGACATTAACCGTGACGATTCTAGGCATGTTCAACATAATGCCCCAAAATTAATGGGATCCATTTTATAAGTCATTTTGATAATACGTACTCAGCTCGCGCACGTCTACACACATAATGTTTGACTTATTAAATTGGAATAGGAACTAGTTCAAATAAATCTATGATGTGTTCAATTCTGTGCTCAGCTCCTAGCTAAACCGCATCAAATGCCAACACAAAACTAAAGGCCTTGTGGGGTGCAAAGGTCTCCAAGGTTCTTTTTTTTTTTTGTAAAAAAATAACTTTGTATACGGAAGAAGTCTACCTTCTTTAGACTGCTGAGAAATGGCATCAGGTGTAAAACTTAGTCAAAGTATCTTAGACAACTAACTGGCAATACCTGCTCCAACATATTTGAGATTAAGGTCATCAAACTGAAAGATATAACTGACCTCGTACGACATGTTATCAATGTCCAGCCTCATTTCTCTATGGTGGTCGTAGAAGCTCATGCCGTTGAAGAAAACATTGCTTTCATGTGCTAGTAGTTGCTACAAGCAGAAAACAAACTGATCAGAAAATCCCGCTGATATTGATTAAACTAACCCACTCCTCTAAAACATCCAATATTGGTTACCTCGTATGTTAACTCCTCATCGTGCTCAATTGTCTCAAGCTGTAACAATGCCTGCAAGCTAGAAACTGTAAACCACCAGGCATACTAAATCAAAAGAAAACAATTTAGATTTGAAACAAAACCTACCCCAGAAATTTCATCCATGTTATATCTCCACAAGTCATCATGATTATTTGACTGACCGATGCTAAAGTCTGAAGATGGGAAGGGCAATAAACTTCGTATTGTATCACCACCATCATTGCGAGGAAGATTGTAAGAGCTAGATTCACTTGAAGAAGCGCCTGCTGAGAACAAATATGATGAATTGAACATATGGGAATTTGATGTTTTAGGCTGTGGAAATCGCGAGTTCCCATTGTTATCTTGATCACGAGCTCTCACTCTTGAGTTCATATTCCTATCCGAAACAACATGATTAACATCAGAAATTAAGACCCCACGATTGTTAAGAACCCCACGGCCTTCTTTTGAGAATGACCTACTCGATCTATTCCGTACAGAAGAAGATGCACTACTACTCTCACTTTCAGAGCTTTTCTTTTTCATGAATCGTGATTGTGATGAATGTGGAAGGGGAAATGATGTTGGACTGAGTTTGGGAGTTCGATACCCATTTTCAACAGTAGTAGGTTTACTCCTTGTCCCAAAGCGAACATTACTAGGTCTCAAATTATCTTGATTGACACTCTTGTGGTTATTACAATGAGGCTTTTGATGGTTCTTCATATCTGACAATCCACTGGAGCAACCTGTTTCCAAAACAGTACTTTTCCTAGATTCAGTGTTTCTTGATGAATGTATTTGATCTTTAACCACTGTCACATCCTGAATAGCTTTAGCTTTAAAATCATCAGAGTTTGTGTGGGAGGAGGCTTTTGTCTGATATTCAATGTGTGATTTCTTTGTAAGGGGAGAGCTTCTTGAAGAACTAGCAACAACTTCCTTGCCATTTGAAGGATTCAAAATCTGCCTTGAAGGGTAGGGTTTTGGAGTGCATCCCATCCTAGTATAGTTAAGCCTTCCGCTACATCCACTTCGAGGGCAAAGCTGAATGTTTTTATCCATACCCTTGGGGGCATCTCTGGAACCTATTCTTTTATTGAGGGGCCCATTAATGGGTTTTTTACCCGAGAGTTCATTCGTATGCATCATCCACTGCTTGCTTCTGCCAAATTCAGAAACTCGCTTCATTAATGTCTGGATCTACCATTACCACAAGGTGCAGAATACAACACAATTGGTAAAGAAATGTGTATATATGTGTACTTATGAGTTAGTAAAAAAGCTTGGACATAATTTATCTTTAGTGGCAAAACAGAATCTGGGGTATACTTCGTAGAGCATATTTGGAAGCTTCAGTTTATTTTCAGCTTCAAAAAATCCATTTGTTCTATTTGGTAAATAAATATAAGAGCTTGAAATAAGCTTGTGTTTGAAATGATATCCCTGCAAGGACCATCTGAGATGTAAAATACAAGTGTTTTTACTTTTTCTACTAGTACTCCTACTTTTTTTTAAGAAACTTGTCTTTGAAAAGATGTCCCTGCTAGGAGATCTAATCAACCTAAAAGATAACATTGGCAACTACATACAGGAAATTGCACAACTCAAAATAAATGATAGCTGGTTGGATACTTTAATTTTGGACTGAATATTTAAATATTTAAACAGGCTAATTGGCCATATACTATGCATTTTCAAATATATACTCACACATATACTATGGATTTTAAGATAACACATGAATATACCACATATATTAACAAGATTGAACAGATATGCAAGGGAACCCATCTTCCAGGAACAATATCATTTGCTTATCATGATTATAAACAAGAGCACACCAATTTAGTATTCCATATCTTTCTATTAAGGCATACAATCAAGCAAATGCACACACTAATAAATAAACAGTGTCGGTCATGAGATCCCAAAGGCCATGCGCAAATGTTAAAATTTTGGCCCTATGGTTTGTCGTAGAGGAGTTACCACCACACGTAAGTCAGAAAGATTTTTCTAGCCCGTTTAATCGGTTTATTTCTGATACATATTTCAATAGAATGAGAGCTCAACCCTGCAATAAATTAAAGGAAATGATGAAATGAAAGATAAGCCCAAGACCCCATCTTTATTTTATTTTAGGTTTTAGCTTTGTCAACGTGCACTCTTCATTTTCTTTCTCCATCTGTGGGGCACCAACCGAATAATCATAGTCGACGGTGAGCTCCACCTTTGCGCCCCAAAATTTGGGGCCTTTTTAGGTAGCAGCCCGGCTTAGGCACAAGGATGTATATATATATATAGAGAGAGAGCACTATAAACTCTTACACACAGCTAGGAATTCTATGAAAGGGAACCCTCAACAACCCACAGGGCCACTCCAATAAAAAGTAAAAAGGTGAATAAATCTAAATCTGTTTCCATACTGACTATGGGAAAAAAAAAGACAAAAAACAAAATTGAATCTCCCTTTCAGATTCAACCTATGAGTAGCAAAACCTATTCAAGGATAGCACATGCACCCGCAGCAGGGGAAATCGCAAACGAAATTTGAGTGTTTGACCTAAAACAACCCATCATCGACGATCCGAACAAACACAGAGCAGAGGTCAAGGGCAATCCAGAACGAAAATCTCATTGAGGAATAAAGATCAAATTCAATTTAATGGCTGCGATCAATAAACTGATCAAAGCAATAATCATCACAGGGGAAAATATAAAAGAAAAAAAAATCAAAATAAACAATCGCTGAAATGCAACTAAATGTCTTCTTCTCCCCTTACCTGATCTTCCTTGTCAACAATAATGGAGAGAGAGAGAGAGAGAGAGAATTTGACTGTTCAAAGATGGAGAGAGACGTACAAGAAACAACTTGAAAAAAAAAAGATAGAGAAATTGATTGATTAAACAAAAGGGAGGGAGAGAAAGAGTCGGATCAAAAAGAAAGGAACGAAGAGAGAAATGATTTGCAAAAGTGATTTGCTAAAAAGCCGCCTTTCCGTTGGCGTCCATCTGCCCTCCGATGCCGTTAAACTAGGATAGTCAATCATTTGACACAGCTTTTATTATCCATAGTTTTGTTCATTATTATGGGAGGGTGAAATTTAGCATTAATTTCGCCCCTATTTTGATTATAAATTACACGAAACAAAGAAAAATACGGGTCTATTTTATTTAGAAATTGAGATATAAGTAAAAAAGAAAACTTATACATTTAAAAAGTACAACAAAAGTTTTACAAACAAGAAGTATCAAGAATATTGTATTTTATCAAAATTAGTAAACTTTTTTTCATAAATTAAATAAAATTAGTATTAGATATTGATACAAAAATAATTTTATTAGATTTATTTTATAAAATGTTTTCTAAATATTATTTTATTTGATTAATATACTATATACTATATTTTATTTTATTATAAGTTAAAAGTTAAAAATTATTGACTGAAAAGGTTAAAGTTGGACAAATACGCAGAAACGGAGGTAGTAGTAGGGAAGGGAGTTGTGATATCATGAGGGTCATAAGATGGATATGTAGTGTGTGGAATTTCTCGTATATTTTTTATGAGTTTGTAGTTAAATTTATTTTGTTTACCCAATATATTTAATCATTTTATTTTTCAAAGTTCATATAATAAGCATGAACTAAAAAGTCATAAAAGAATTTACTATGGGGAAGGTGGTAGTCAAGGACTCAAGGTGCCTTATCATGTTAGATATCAAGAAAGTTTATGCCAGTGTGAGTTGGGAGGTTGTAGTACGATTATGGAACTGTAGAATTTTCCTCACTAATTTGTAGCTTGGGTTGAGTATTTTATCATCAGTCCTACTTTTTCAATACAGATTAATGGAGAAAACTATAAGCATTTCAAAGGAAAGAAAGAACTAAGACAAGGGAGTCATATCTCCCCCTTGCTTTTTATCCTTGAATTGTAATGGAATACTTGAGCACACTTCTTCAACAAATGACTAAGAACAAGGACTTCACCAGTTTTATCCATTGTGCAGGTCCCTCAAGTTGGTCAACCTCAGGTTTGTAGACAACTTGATCATTGTATGCAAGCTTGAGGAAAAACCATTAGCTATATTATGGGAACTCTGAGGATATTCAAAAGTACTACAAGGCTGAGTATCTTTCATAATAAGTCACAAATTATTTTTGGACGTGTGGATGAAAAGAATGTCCTTCCAGAGTCAATTGATTAATTATGTTTTGTTTGGCATGTTCAAAGGAGTCAACTTTTCATTATCCATCTAAGGTGATGAGGAAAGTGCAAGGCACATGTAAAAAAAATTTTTGATGGGCTACAACTAACTATTCCAAGAACCCTCTGATTAATTGGGAAGATGTATGTTTATCCAAAATATATGGACGATTGAGCTTGATGAATATAGTGTTGTGGATCATATAGGGCTTTTATTTGCAATTACTAGTGGAACGTAGTGAGGGAGAAACATAATTTATGGGTGGAAGTAGATCCATGAGAGACATATAAAAGAGGATGTGGATAATTACAAATTGAGGAGAGACAACCATTTTTACTAGAAAAAATTGTAGATAATAAAAAAGTGGTTTGAACTGATGCCCAAGACTAAAGTATATACCACAGAGGAGGGGTACACTTGGTTATTGGGGTTGAAGAACAAAATAGCTTGGACTTCCTTTGTTTGGAATAAGTTGACATGTTCAAAACACCAATTCTTTATTTAGCTCATTTGTAGAGGCAAGATGAATACTATGGTTAGGGTGCTGGTAGGCTCATTGATATAGATAAAACTTATGCTTTGTGTAATAATGTAGAGCGAGAAAGATATTGATCATTTATTTTCCTACAGCTTTTTCACCATTGCCTTACTGAAGAGAGTTTCTTATAGGTCGAGTAACAACATTGAGGGGAGTAGTGCAGAAAAAATCAAAAACAAGATTATGGTTCTTAATGGGAGGAGAAGACAAAAATGTATCAATGGTTGTGCTTTTACCTGTAATTCCTTATGAAAGGCAAGGAACAGATTGATTCATGACCAATGATAGAATTTGTTTAACTAGATCTGGTTTCGCACTGCAACTTCTTGGGGGAGGAATAGAAAGATATGTAGCGCTAACTTGTGTTTGTAGATTAGCACTGTCCTTCTATGCTATATATTTGTCTTTGTAAACCTGGTTTGTTAAAATTCCGGTAGGCCGAGAACAACAGGTAAAGTGTTAGAAAATTAACCACTTGCATATAAAGTCGGATCTACTATTCTAACCCAAAAGCTTAAGTTGATAGGTAGGACTTCACCATTCTTTCTATGCTAGTGCTATTCGTCGTTATTTTCTGATGTGGGAACTCTAACATGGTTAGCTTTTGAGTTGGAATAAAAGAAGTGAATTTGTTCAAAAAAAAGTAGTAATATAAAACATAAATTCCGTAAAATAAGTATATTTTGGAAATTCAATCAATTCAAATTGAACTAGTTTAATTTTAACTACTAGTAATTACTCCCTCCATTCTACAAAAAAAGCACTTTTATTTTTCACTCTTTTTATAAAACACTTTCGCTTTCAATTAAAATATTTATATTTTGTCCCTGTTAATTATTAACATACTTATCACATCATAACTATTCGGGGAATTTACCTAAGCAGTACTAAAACATAATAATTTTCTCAATATAGTCTTATATGTTTTTACTTTCCAATGTAGTACCATTGTTCAATGTCCAATAGTTATTGTTCAAGTAAATGTCTACCGCTACTAGAGATTGTTCAAACTAAATGTTCAATGTTATTCGACATTATTCCCGGTACTAGACATTATTGAAGTACTATTTAGAAAATAAAAAGTTTAAGTATTACATTGGGAAAAGACATATATATTTAGTACTATTTAGTGTAAATTTCATTAACTATACATCAATTATTTACTCATCACATCACATTCTATCCTTCACATCCAAAGATAAAATTACAATATCAAAAATTAAATTGAGAATTGTTTTTATGAAATAGATTGTGTATTTGATAAGGAAGTAATTAAAATCATATTTATATAGTAATTACTCCATACCAGTTATCAATTTATGCATACAAGATTACTTCGAATACCCTCAATTTTTTTGATAAAAACTCTCAGGTCTCAAATTATCAGAAATACACTCTAGGATACTCTCTATTCTTTTAAGAACTCTCTGGTTCCATATATATTATTCGAAATATATTTCGGAATCCTTAAAATTTATGATATTATACCCCGAGGGTACATTTTATCTATTTAGACATCAAGATTGAAAGTTTATTTACTTTAATAGATGGAAAGATATTATCAAAATTCAATAAAATAATGATTATCAAGGTAAAAAAAATTTCCTCAAAGTAACGGAAATTTCAATCCTTACAACTAAATAGAGGAAATGTACCCTCGGAGTAGATTACCAAATTTTTAAGGACCTTCGAGTTTATTTCAGATCACGTGTGACCTAGAAGTTGTTAGAAAATCAAGGATACGCTAAAGTGTTTTTTAAATACATGAGACCTAGGAGTTCCCAACAAAAAATTGAACGTATCCCGAAGTAATTTTCTATTCAATGCATTACACTTCAATTTCGTTCAATTAGGTAAATAAGCGGGCTATTTGTTCATCCCAAAATAATCTTTTTTATATTTTTTTTTCATTTTTCAACACTTTTTTTTAAAAAAAATTTTGGAAAGTCAAACAAAATATTTTTATGGAACTAAGAATGGTAGTACGGAAGGCAAATGCTTCTGTAGTCCTAAGGTTCACACTTTTAAATCTTATTTATCCCATAAAGATTTCAATTTGATCGAGCTAAATGTATGCAATTGCCTTTAATTTATTTTTTTAAAATCTTATTTATCTCATAAACATTTCAATTTGATCGAGCTAAATGTATGCAATCTAACCTACCTCAACTACCTTTTACGCCCTACCCATTTTGACAATTCTCGAGCGCTACTCGTTTCAATTGTAGTCATTTCATCTTGGTCAAACTTTTACAATTTCTCATCCAGAAAATCAAAACAAAAATATTTTGTGGGACGGATGAAGTACAACTTAATGTCATTTCAAAGAAAATAATACCCCCTCTATTTTCTAAAACGATTCTTGTTTTGACTTAGGAGAGATTAATTTTCGTACTTTGACCTTCTAATTATATTTTTATCATCGAAGAAAAAAAGAGAGACAAATTGTTTTAACGACTTATTATATCAATACAAATTGAATGAAGTATATTGTAACGACTTAATTTAGATATATTAATCATTTTTTTACAAAAATGGAAGTATTTTAAGGAAAATGAAAAAAAATGAAGGAGAAAGTATTTTAAGAAATGGAAAGAGTAATACTCCCCACGTCCCACAAAACTTTTCTCCATTATTTTTTCTTCCGTCCCAAAAAACGTTTCTCATTTCTAATAAAAAGTCACTCTTGCTCCTACTAATTTTTAACTTACATATCACATTACATTTTTTCACTATTAATCTACAGGAAATGTTTGGTTCACAAACACAATCATCACAAACTTATTATTTGTGAACTTCTATAAAGAAATTAAATAGTCTAAAATAATTTTAAAATGTGAATTTAAACCATTAATAGTAAGTTTGTGGAATTTGTGACCAATCCTGTTTGTGAACGTAGCATTGTTCTTAATCTACCCATCACATCTACTTTTACCTATCACATCCATCTAAGGGCATTTTAAGAAAGTCAACATTAAAATACACTATAATCTTAAATACCGTAAAAATCAAAACAAGAAATGTTTTGTGGGGCGGAGGGAGTAGAATATTTCTTTAAACAATCAAAACCCGGCCTTGCATGCATGTAGTGTGTTGCTATTTCGGTGATAGTGGAGAGAAGGAGAAGCCAGAAAATAGAAGAATAACAATTAAGGACTTAAGATCAACGCTATGGAGTAATAATAATGATTCATTGAACGTCGGTTAATATTGTTCATCTCCATTCAATCTTCCGGAGAGATGGATCGGAGGGAACCAGATTTGTTTAATTGACAATTCCTTCTTTCTTCAAAGGTTTCTAGATTTACTGTGGGCCGTGAATGATGGACTTTGGAGCCCCGCGAGCCAGGCCTATTAGGCCAATCCACAAGATACTATGGACGGGCTTGGTCTTAAGTTTGGCCCGCATGGGCCAACAGGTCTACCTACATCCCGTACATACAAACATATAAATACAGACGCCCTCTGTCCCGCAAAAAATTTCCCATTTTGATTTTTAAAAGATTTAAGGAGACTATTTTGGTGTTGACTTTTTAAAAATGGTATTTGATGTGATGAATAAAGTAGGATGAGATGGTTCATGTTTGAATTAATAGAAAAAAAGTGTGATATGATGATAGGTACGTTAAGAATTAATAGGGGTAAAAGTAACTTTTTAATAGAAAATTGAACGATTTTTTGGGACGGATGAAAAAGAAAAGGAGAAGGATTTTGTGGGACGGAAGGAGTACAAAATACTGAGTATATCTTTCTGTATATTGATTGAAATAATTAATAATATTATAATGATACATATGGTTTAACAATAATATAATATGGATATCCATTTAGTATGAAAATTTTTTACTCCGTATATACAAATATTTGTGTGTGGTATGTGTGTGTGTGTGTGTGTATAACTGTATATATATATATATATATATATATATAGATTAATTTTTTATGGGGTATATAAAAAGATTCGGGGCTGGGCCTTTGTGTGGTCCGGTTGGATCACCTCCAAGGACCGATATAGACATAATGTTTGGCCTGAATTTTGTGGACTTGACCTGCCCATATATATATGGGCAAAATATTAACCTCATGTTCGGTCCAGATCTGATTTTTAAGGGTGTTAAAAGATTATAAAAATATTTAAAAAATTAAATATAAAGCCTTTTTTTTAAATGTGTTTCTTAGTACACGATAATGCATGAGGTCTAGCTACAATAATACACTCCGTATGACGTAGGTCTTCCCTTATCACACGTCCGATATATTGAACCATATGTGTGTACATAATGAATTAACTTAGAAATACACCAAAATAGGGTATTCTATTTCTACACTAAACATTTACACACACAACACATTGAATGTCTATGTGGGGATGTGTGAATATTTGGTGTAGAAATAGGGTATTTTTTTGTGTGTATCCCAAGCATTACCGGTATATTATTGTTGGCTATGTGTTGAGTTCTAAGATGACAAATCGGAATTTGTTCTACGAATCGAACAACTTGTTCTAGTTTTTGTGTATACTTATTCCTCCGGAAATGATCTTTCACTTTACCTTTCAGTTTGATCGAAAATATTATTCCCGTATCTTCTTTTAGCTTACATTCTTGAAAGTTTAATAACTCCCCCATCCCGTAAAAAACTTTTTATTTTGACTTTTAATGGACTTAAGAGGAGTATATTTTGGTGTTGATTTTTCAAAAATGCCCTTTGATATGATGGATAAAATAGGATGTGATGGGTAGATTAATAGAGAAAAAGTGTGATGTGATGGGTAGATTAAGAATTAATATGGGTAAAAGTGACTTTTTAATAGAAAAGAGAAAGGTTTTTTGGGACGGATGAAAAAGGAAAGGAAAAGAGTTTTGTGGGACGGATAGAGAACTTTTTTTAGTCGTAAATAAGTGTACCAAGTCAATACATCAAGAACAATTCCAGATGGATAGAGGGTTATTGGGGGGGGAGGGAGGGAATCCAACAATATATGAGGAATTTATCTAAATAGCACTAAATTAAAATATAATGACTTTTCCTAAATAGCATCATATGTTTTTATTTTCCTAAAGTAGCACTTTTAGTCATTTTTATACACTGTCTATCACATCATACATTTTTCCAAATAATCTACACAGCACATCCTACTTTTACTCATCACTTCAAGGATATTTTTGGAAAGTCAACACCAAATTATCCCTCCTCATTTTACCACTTTAGTCAAACCGTCACTAAAACATAATGATTTTCCCTTCATTATTTTCTTTTAAGAAAAGAATCGTGGCTCATATAATACTTTTTTCCTAGACAGTACAGTAGCTATATATTTTTCATTTTTTATTCTCTGTAACATTTAATCAAGAAATTAAACAATGAAATAAATTTTATGATATCTCAAGTTTATTTGGGAAATAATTTGTGTATCCTAAATTTAGAAAGAACGAAAGAAGTCACAGCATTTACTTATGCTCCAAAAAAAAAATCCATCACATAACCTCTACGGCGAAGGTTTAAAAAAGAAAACATTTTGTTGCAACATGACGTACATGACATTCCACAAACGGTCAAGAGATAAATATAATTTCAATAAATAAATATTTTAATAAATTTTATACATAAAATAGCATATCCTAACACGAACCCAATTATATTCAATTTATATCATAATTAAATATACTTTTTTACAATTCATGATCAAAGTGTGTTATTATTTGACTAAAAAGAATCAAAAATGAAGGAACTTGTGGGACGAATAGAGTATATCACAAGAGAATCCCAGTTTTGCAACAAAAAAACAAAAGAAGCGTGCATATATTCATTCAAGTTTTGATATATCTGGATAGTACTTAGAGTAATTTACTTAAATAGGATTAAAACATAATAACTTTCTCAATATAGGACCATATGTTTTTATTTCCCAATGTAGGACCTTTGGTCATTATGAAATAGTCATTATTCAAGTAAATGTCCATCATTTTTGGACATTATTCCTTGCACTAGGTCATTATTAAGTCCTATTTGGAGAATAAAAAAGTTTAAATCCTACATTAAAAAAGTCATTATGTTTTAGTCCTATTTAGTGCAAATTTCACTAGTACTTAATTGTGATTGAAAAGAGCAGACTGATTTATCATCATAATAAAATGGGTCCTAATTAATTGGAATATGTTCATGGCGACTTAATTAAATGAGTCTTAATTATTGTTTTTGCATGTAGGAAGACGAACCCATTGATTTCTCAGATGATGATCCACTGCATATCGTTTTGTCCACCACATTGGACGACCCGAGCTACTCCGGGGACGGACCACAACACGAGGTTTGCATCAAGTCCGTCCCTGAGCGTGTGGCCATTGCTGCTTCTGAATCTATTCCCGAGTTCTCGGTGCTGGTTGGAATACGGGCCCCGTCACTCCTGGACGGCAGGTCCCAGCGTGCGCCCGTGGATCTTGTCATGGTTCGATCTAGATGTTAGTGGAAGCATGAGCGGGGAGAAATTGGCGCTCGTGAAGCAAGCGGTGCATTTCGTGGTTGATAACTTGGGACCGTCCGACAGGCTTTCTATTGTGTCGTTTGCGACTCACGCAAAGAGAGTGTTACGCTTGACTCTAATGACGGATCATGGACGCGACGAGGCTAGGTGTGCAGTCAATTCGCTATCGACCAAGGACACAACCAACATCGTGGCAGGCCTCAAAACGGCGGTGAAAGTCCTTGAAGAAAGGCGACATCGGAATCCGGTGGCGACCATTTTGTTCTTATCAGATGGGAATGATAATTGTAATGGAAGCTCAAGCTTTCTATCTGCCCTAAGAATAAAAAAACAATGGGAGAAGAATATGATGTTATTAAAGAGACGTTTCCGGTCCATGCATTTGGTTTCGGTTCGGACCATGACCCGGTTGCAATGCATGCTATTGCCGAAGCATCAAATGGGACTTTCTCCTTCATCGAGTCGATCATATGGAGTGGTACAAGATGCTTTTGCTAGTTGCATTGGAGGGGTTTTAAGCGTGGTGGTTCAAGATCTTTGTTTGATGGTGAGGTCAGGGTCGTATGGGGTAGAAATCAAGTAGATTCCTTCAGGGAGATACCGTAGTGAAATCTCGGACCAAGGCTCCCAGGGATTGCTCCACATTGGGGACTTGTACGCTGACGAGGCCAAAGAGTTTCTCGTGAACGTGTCAGTTCCGATCTCCTCACTGTCCTCGTCCAATGATAGTATCGAGAGAAAAACGACTCTTTTGGACATTAGGTGTTCTTACAAGGACGTCAGTGCATCGTCTAAGAACAAAATGCAAGTAGTGGAGGGGGACTTGGTCGATATACGTCGACCTAACTCCCCCTCCCCAGGGGAAATGCAAGTGAACTTGGAGGTTGATAGGCAGAAGAACCGACTACGCGCAATAGAAGGCATCACGCAGGCACAAAAGATGGCTGAGAGTGGAGACCTAGCCAGAGCTCAAGAACTCCTGCAAGCCAAAAGAGAGGAGCTGTTAGGTTCGGTGTCATGCCATGCGAACGACAACTTGTCAATGTGCCTAGTAGAGGAGATAGAAGAGACGAGGAAACGGATGGAGAATATGCACGTGTATTGCTCGTCAGGGAGAGCGTATGCTCTCGCTGGGATGAGCTCTCATGCAATGCAAAGGGCAACGACTCAAGGCGGGCAAGTGCCTGGAACCAAGTTGGCTACGGGTTGCGCCCGCCGTGGATTTAGCTCCAGGAAATCTTGTGGTGGTGCTTTCTATGCAACTCCAAATATGGCAAAGATGGTTGAGAAGTCAAAGAAGGTCACAAAAAAGAGAACAAGAGAAAGAGAAGGAGAGGAGTCCTAGTTTCTTTATTTACTTATGGTTTGGGAGATGCGTACGTGTGAGATTATGTTTTTCTTCACGTCATTAATAAAGTAATGTTATGTTAGTGTTTTGCATGCCTTTTGGTTTGGTATTAGTAGCTATTTTAGCTAGGGTTGAGTCACATGTTTTTTTTGGTGAATGGTAATGAAAATAAAGAGAGATTATTGTTTCTTGATTTTGTTTGTTTGGTACTACTAATACGTATTAATGCAAGTAAGTTTGGGAATTCATTTGCTTAAATTTGCTATCTTAAGCTATAAAATGGATCAATTGAGAAAAGATAGAGGGCTCTATTTATTTTAATTTAATTCTCTCATTTAACTTTTTGTTATTAAAATACAATATCATAACCACAACTACATTATTGTACTCCGAAGTTATTCCCTCTAAGCTAAAGTGCATTAGAGCTAGGGGGAAGCTATGAAGGTCAATACTAGATGAAAAATTTGCTCCGTATAAGATTAAAAGGTAGTATGTTTCTCTGAATAAGACTAAATATATTTTTTTCTTGATGACACATAATTACATATGATCCTTGAGATTAAAACATTCATCCAAATATTTATTGAAAGCAGTGCATAAAGAAGAACTATTTCCTGCAACAAGAATGTCATCAATGTAAACAAGAACAACCAGCATATCAGGACCACTACGATAAACAACAAGAGTATGATCAACATGGGCTTGACGGAAGCCGTAACGCAAAAAGAAGCTTAGCAAACCAATTGCGGGGGGATTGCCGAAGGCCATAGAGGGACTTAGGAAGGCAGCATACTTTCCCTAGGTAAAGACGGGTATAACCTGGAGGAATCTTCATATAAATTTCATTAGTAAGTTCCCCATGAAAGAAGACATTATTAACATCCAATTGATTAACCTGCCATCCCCTAGCAACAAGAACAGACAATAGAACACGAACAGTGGCTAATTTGGCCACTGGGGCAAAAGTATCAGTAAAGTCAACACCGAACTCTTGATGATTACCTAACACAACTAACCGAGCTTTGTCTCATTCCTTGGTACCATCAGATTTATATTTGGTCCTGTACACCCACTGACACCCTAGAGCCCTCCGATTCGGAGGAAGATCTGTAATGTCCCAAGTATGATTACGCTCCAAGGCATTGAACTCCTGAGCCATGGCATCACGCCAAGAAGCATAGTGAACCGTCTCACGAAAAGTACGAGGCACTAGAGAAGCATCAATAGTACCAAGAAACCCTTTGTACCTGTCATGTAACTTATTATAATGAACAAAGTTAGTAATTGGAAACCGAGTACCAGATGAACATGAACTAGATGATGAGGAAGACAGAGTGACTGTCTTTGCAGAATGAAGAACATAATCATTGAGATGAGACGGAAGGCGGCGGTTACGAGGAGGCAACGACTGGATAGTGGGTGGCGGAGAAGTGGCTTGTGCTGAAGGGGCGCTGCTGCTGTTGTCGTCTGGAGAGACAGAGGACGAGGGAGATGGAGGTGGTGATGGGGTAGGACTCGAGACTGGGGAAGAACTAGATACGACTGTTTGTTGTGGGGATAATGGTATTGTGGACTCGGATGACGTAAACACTAGAACAAGGATTTAAAATGGGTTGAGGAGATGTAGACAACGGGGGAATGGCGAAGGGAAATTGTGTTTCGTCAAAGGACACATCACGAGTGTGAAAAAAATTGGTGGGTCTCAAGATTGTATACTCGCCAGCCTTTAGTACCGTAAGGATAGCCGACAAACATACATTTCACACTTCGGGGATAGAATTTATTTGTGGGTTTAGTCATTTGACGAACAAAGCATAAACAACCAAAGACACGAAGATGATCCAAGCTTTGAGGTTTAGATGACAATATTTCAAGCGGAGACTTACCCCCAAGTAACTTTGTTGGCGTACGATTGATAAGATACACAGTAGTTTTGACACATTCTCCCCAAAATTCAGTGGGAAGGGAAGCTTGAAACATAAGGGACCGAGCAACATTTAATATGTGATGATGTTTATGTTCGACTCGGCCATTTTGTTGTGGAGTGCCTACACAAGAAGTTTGAATGCACACACCCAAAGAATCATAATATTGACGTAACGAAGTATTTAGAAACTCAGTACCATTATCAGACCGTACCACTTTTATTGTTTTGGAATATTGAGTGTGAATCATGGCAAAAAATCGCTTGAGACAAGATGTGACCTCACCTTTTGTTTTGATGAGGTAAACCCAAACAGCTCGAGAGAAATCATCAACAATAGTGAGAAAGTAATGTGCATGAGATGATATACAAGGAGAATATGACCCCCATAAATCACAATGAATTAAATCAAAAACAGTAGCAGCTTTATTATTACTAACGGGAAGTGAGGAACGAGTTTGTTTAGACAAAAAATAGATTTCACAAGTCTGTAACTTTTTGACAACTGAGTTTGTTTTATTTGATCCAAGAAAAGGTAGAACATCTGAGGATGGGTGTCCTAACTGTTGATGAAGAACAAACGGATCAATATTAGCTACGAGAGCTGATGCTGGAGGGGAAGCAAAAACATACACACCGTTTCGCAAATCACCATATCCAATCTCCATCTTCGTTGCATAGTCCTGTATTACACCACAATGATCATTAAAAGTTACACAACAAGTAGTTTCACGAACCAGGCATCCAACTGATATCAAATTATAGTGTAAGTTTGGTACATATAACACATTATGAAGGGCCAAACTAGGGGAAAGTTGCACATTTACCTTTTTAACAGCCTGAATACGAGATCTATCAGGAAGACAAATGGAACGAGGAGAAAAGTCCTTGAGATCAAATAAATGTGATAAAATTCCTGTCATATGATGCGAGGCACCAATATCAATTAACCACTCACAAAGGCTGCTAAAAGTCATACCATTAGTTTGGTTGCATGCAAAAGAATCAATAAGAGACATTAATAAGACCACCTTATCATCATTCATCCTGGCTTCCATAAATATCCACAAAACACAGTGGAGAACAGAGAGGAAAAGCAACACAGTGGAAGAGCTTCACAAATTGATGAACAGATTGGGCAAAACACAATTGCAAAATTGATGAACACAGTGGAAGAGGACAAGCGCACTATAGGCTAAAATAAATGAACGGATTCGGCAAAACAAACTTCATAACTGTTGGACGAGCTCCAGAGATCGGACAATCAGATCGCCGGAAGATGAAGCTTGCGACTTATCCGACGAGTGCGAGAGTGACGGACCTCTGATGATGAATTGAATCTCGCGATCGGTTTTGACTGGCAAACTTCAGAAATCGCTGAAGCGACGAGCGCACAGCAATAGGGCCGACGTCTAAGACATTTGTTCTTCACCACAGCAATTGGGCCGACGAAATTTGTTCAGCAGAGACGGCTGAAGATTTTTGGCGACCTCAACAGAGCCGATCGAAACAGAGACAAGGACTGCCGATCGGAACACGGACGGACAAAACTAGGTTAGAAAATCCGAAGAAAGATAGCTCTGATACCATGTAAACTAGTTTGATGTAAAAACCCCTAGTGGTAGGTATTTCATTGATGCAAGTGAATATAAACATTCACGGGTGATACAAACGAGGAGAAGGTGATACAAACGAAGAGACTAACAATAAATAATATACAAAATATTTACATAGGCTAACACTTACAGGCAGAGGCGGATCCAGTATTTTACAATCATGGGGTCCTCTACCTTCCATTCTCATCTCAAACTACTTCATAAGTCTTAACATTTAACAATAAAATAAAACTAATATTTGAAAAGTACCATAATTAATACATAGAAATAAAGTCATACCAAAATAATATCATTTGCAATTGTACTAGAGACACCGGAGCACTAACATTGTTACCAATTTCACTCGACTCCGAATCTTTGAATTTGGATAGCTTTTTGAAGTACCTTTGCATTTTAAATTCTGAAAATAAAAAATTAATATTAATTACATAAATTAGACATAAAATGAACATTAATACAATAATATTTATCACTTGCAATCCTAAATCAAATTTTTACTGAAGAAAAACTTTGATTCTTTAATGAATAAGTAATGAATAAAAAATAAATTTATAAATTATTATATATTTATATATTACTAATCATATATCAAACTTCAAACTACCATAAAAATTAATTTTAGTAAAATAAAGAAAAGTTTTTTAGACTAATTATTTGTCGGGGCTGCCGCTATGGAGTGTGGTCGAATTTCGGTGGAACGGCGAACAGAGGCCGGCGGGTGACGGGAAAGAGAGACGGAGAATCGTAGAAGTTAGGGTTCAAAATCAAAAATAGAGAATTGGGGAAGGGATAAAGCTATTTGTACCCCATGTTTTTGTACCCCACTTTGTACCCCATAGCTTTGCACCAACACTTTATGTTGGTGTAAATCTAATTTTTGTTAATGCACCAACACTTTGTGTCCGTGTAAATTTTTGTTAAGAAACCAAAACTTGTGTCGGTGTAAACCATCAAAATATTTGTGTATAACTGCGGGGTACAATTTGTGGTGTAAGTGTAGCATGACCCTTGGGGAAGAGGTAAATTTTGCTGCTCCATGCTCTTTTTTTGTAAGATTAGAAAAAAAGACTCCAGAGGCCAAGGTTGAGAATCGAACTCAGGTTTCTTGGGTTTCAATGCTTCGCACACTTCCACTACACCATTCGCAATAGGACTCAAGGTGGGTCCGCCTCTGCTTACAGTTTAATATGAATTTCTTAAATTCCTGGTAACCAGATTTGATGTTTTCACGAGAATGAACAGAGCATCTTAATAAACTACTTTTATCTTTACTATTTTTTTTATCATGTCTATTACATCAAAGATATTTTTAAAAAGTCAATGAAAAATATCCCTTATTTAAATCACATAAAATCAAAATAAGAAAGAAATTAAGGGATGGAAAAAGTATTATTTGTGTGTTTTGAAACATTTAACTTTCTGCATCTAATTTGTTAACTTTTTTTTCACATGTAGAATTATTTTTAATAAGCCCTATTACACTAAAAGGCTAGAAATTTTTAAACGGTATATAAAGTTTTGTCATTGGTAAGACTTCATTTTTTTTGTAAAGAAATTAATTTGGATACTTAATATTTTCAAGAAAATCATTATTTTAATGAATAGGCAATACCTTGCAAGGTGTTTTAAGATCAACAATTTTATTTTACAACTTGTGATTTCTTGCATTTCTCATCAGCAATAATCCAAGTCTTATACTCCCTCCGTCCCATGAAACCTTTCTTCTTTCTTTTTTTATCCGTCCCACAAAACACTTCTCATTTCTATTAAAAAGTCACTTTTACCCCTTACTTTTTCATACCCTAACTATCACATCATACCTTTTTACTAATAATCTATCCATCAAATCATACTTTTACCCATCACAACAAAGGACATTTTTGGAAATTCAATACCAAAATACACTCTCCTTAAATCCCTCCCAAAAAGCAAAAGTCTCATGTTTCATGGGAGGGAGGGAGTACATTTCTCATAAATCCAAATCCCTCCATGTCTTCAGGGCTCGGAAATCGGAATAGTATCTTGAGTCTTCTACTCCATTTCTTTGATATATATTATGAAATAATATTTTAATGTAGTTTGATCCGGAAGACCGGAAGTCCCAACCCGGCTCTTATATTTTTGTGATTTTAATAAATATTTATATACTGGTGAAATAATTCTTATTTAAATTAATAAAGTTGATATATCTAAAAATTAATTATTGGAAATTACTTCCCAGCAAGATCGATGATGTTGAAATTAATTAAATAAATTTTTTAAACAAATTACGTATGCCTAGAGGTAGGATGATAAATTAATGAACCATTTGTGAAAGAAATATCATTATCCAAAATGTTAATTAAATATGTAATGAGACGAGTTAGACCTAGAATGGCGGATTGACATGAATGATTTTCACAAGTATTGCATGTGATATTTTGGGCTTGACCCACATCTTTGTATTTGTATTATTTAAGTCTTCCGCTATCTCCAACATTTTCTAAAAGGATCGACCCGAATTTAGTATGTTTTATTTTGAAGTTTTGTTTTATGAATTTTATTTAATGATTTGTAAAAGGTTTTGAAAATATTGCTCCTGTTTTAATTCCTATAATTCCGGGTTATGCAAATTGGGGTGTTACAGTTGGACACTTATTTGATATATTTGAAGTAAAAAAACAAGTATATGAACTAAAAAACCACGTCGTTTGGTTGAAAACCACGGGTAACCAAGTTGAAAACCGTTTCGTGGTTTTTGAAAAATGACCATGAACCAAAGGTGGGTTTTAGAATGTTTTTGTTAGAAAATTATGTGAGTATGTCCATAAATGAACACCAATCATAAAATGTTAAAACCCAAGTGGTTGATTCAGAAGCCAAAAACCAAAGCCAAAAAACCAATGCCGAAGACCGAACGCCGGACCCTGAAAGCCGAATGTTGGTTTTGGTTTGGGCATCAATTTGGGGTTCTCGAAAAACCATTTATGAAAAACATTTGATTGATGATAAAAAATGGTTTCATAGTTTTGTAAAATCTTTTTCACTTTCGAGAACTAAGACTTGATTTCGTTGTCGGTTTTAAATCACTATAAACTCGACTCAACGAAGTCTTCAAATCTTGATCTTGTTCTTGGTTCTTTTGCTTCTTGTGATATGACTTTGTTCATGCCTTGAGTTGTTCAACGTCTTTTTTCATATCCACGACGGTTTTGCATTTATCAAAACCTATAAAAAAACAAATACGAATTTAGTTCATCTTTTTGTAAACTATGTTCCAACATAAACAAATCGTTGAACATTGGCCCCTTATTCTATACCACCCATGGTTAAGATTGAAAGAGCTAGCAAGATAATTCCAAATACTCCTTACCAGTTAGAAGTTCATAGGGGGCATTGGAAATAACTAACACCCAATATAAATAAGCAGATTAAACAAAGAAAGTGCTACAGGAGATGTTTTAACACTACGTCAAAAACAGATGCTGACAACCGTTCTTTTTAGTAGTCTAACTGTGCTAGTTTGAGTAGTCTTCCGAGCAGCTGTTTGATATATTTACAGACTACTGTTTTAAAACAATTGTGTAATACGGTTGACGACACCTATTTTGTGATGTTTCAGAGTACATGTTTTTTATGTTGTCTTCGTATGAGTAAGACATCTGTTTTCTGGAGTTAAAGACAACTGTGATGTTTTGTTGTCTATCTATAATGAATATAACTGTTGTTTTCGACTTCAGACTCCTATTGCATGGTGTTGTCGTTCAACAATATAGACATCTAATTTCAAAAGTAGTTGAAAGATATATCAGACAGCTGCGTGAAAGACTACTAAACAAAAATAACATTAGGCAACTGTTATCTTGTGTTATATTTCTAAAATGTAGACTGCTAATTTTGTTGTATTTTAAACAATTGTTTCTTTCACTTGTATAGTCCTTAACAATACTACGCTTTTTTGTAGTTGTCCTTGAAATATTCAAATTATCTTTTTACACAGTAGTCAGATTCTAAATCAGACTACGGTTCCGAAGACAACTAAGTATGTTTGCATAAGACAACTACTATTCTGTGTGGTATTTGTAAAATGTAAACAACTATATTTGTTGTATTTCACACAACTGTTTATTTCTATTGTTTAACGTTTTTTAACAGTACAGGTTTGTGTAGTTGTCCTTTAAAGATTTAGAAAACAGTTTTAATACATTATAAAGCTGTTTGAAAGACTACTATATTTCAATTCACATTTAAATTTAATAAATAAATTTTATTTAAATTCCAAAATATTGATCATGAAACAAAAATAAATTCTAAAATGTAGAATATATTGAATAATATCTAAATACATACAATCCAAGTCTAAATAACATCCAATAATTTAATATTTACATAATTAAAATAACACTCTAATTGTCCATCCAGCATGCCTAATTTAGGTATTTGTCCCCTCAATAACATTTTTGAATGCATCTCTTGCTCTAGCAACATTTTCTTGTAAAGCATCCACTTTAGTCCTCATTAAATAATTAAAATGAGTGTTTGTTGATAACAAGAAAGAGTTCATACAAAAATACTTGAAACTTTTTGCAGTTATTAGCTAGCCAAATACCTCCAAAGTAGTTCATATGCATCTATTTAACAATTGAAGTTCATAATTCAGCTTAGAAATCAAGCAAAGCTGCAGATTTTTCTAAATAAAAAATAATTCAGTTTAGTTTTATTCAAAATCAACACTTAAAATTCAAAAATCAATATAAAAACACAACGTCATCCTTCTACATATGGTCTATAAGCAGGATGTATCAATGATAGTTCAACTTTCAAGAACATGATCACTCCACAACACAAAAACAACAAAACAATTAAGCCAAAAAGTGCAGTATATATATTCTATGAGGTTGAATTGGAGCACTTATGATCATTCGAAAGTACAATTTACAACCATTTGCAGTGTTAACCATTTGCTTACTATTACATTTTGAATATACCCATTAGGTTGCACTATGTCATTGAATTTTAATCATTACCAACTCATGACAAATTGAAATTACAAGAGGAAAACACTCATGTGTCTAAATTAGAACTCTTAAAGCTCAAATTGTGGAGAGGAATACCTTTGATTTGGTCTTTATTCTCGCAGAAAATTTCTGCAAAGCTGGGCTTAGCTTTCATAGGCATATCATTAGTCACCTTGAGTACAGGTTTAGTTAGTTCTCTGCCCTTAACTGCACAACCGTGTACCGGTCAAATAATAGCTGCATTTATGCTTTGTCGCTTTGTCTCAAAACCGAGCTTGGGAATTAGGATGTTGCCCTTGAAGTAGAGCTTCAGAAGTAACCTGACAAGTGACAAACTATTTTGGCTGTTAAATGCACATCTACTGGAAAGATAAATGTTCAGCACTGCGTTCTAGAGCATCCCTCCATAACCTATACCTTACTCCTAGCTTGTCGTACGAGACCGGAAGATTCTAGATGTTAGCACCATTGATCATGCTGTCCTGTTGCCCAATCACAAGCCACAGATCCTAGTTCAAGACCTGTAAAAGTAGTAAGATTTGATAGTGGAATTTGGCATTATACTTTGCCTATGAAATCCCTGTGAAATTTAGATTCATGATAGGATTGGAAGTCTTAATGAGAATATAAATACATTGATGTATAGTATCTGAGACAATATACACATATCTCAATACATTCATACTCTAAGAGGAGGACTCCAAGCCACCCAAAACAAATTCTCAACAGCAAAACATCAATAACAGCAATTGACGAAGCAATAAGCACTGCAAGGCCAGGTCCAGTTCACGCATTGAACAGTAATTGCACATGCTCAAAATTCCTCAATCTAGTGGAAATTAAAAAAGGTTATGGAATCGACCTTCATACCTTGAGTGAGGATCCCCATATGCTTAGAATCTCAAAATTCTAGCCATCAAAAATGCTTGGATCGGTGTGAATCGAGAAATCAAAATTGCAGATGAACAGTAATAGCCTCGGTGTTGACCTTCGAATTGTCCGAATCCATCTTCAAAAAACCAGCGATTCCACTCTGATAGATATTCTCTTGTTGAAGGCGAATGCATAGCTCCAAAAATTTAAACAATCGTGCAAAATTCCAGGTGGAGATCGGAAGTCAAACCCTTGGTGAACAGGGTTTTGCGAGACTACCGAGAGCGCTAGAGAGATGAACTTACTTGGCGGCTCAATGACTTTGTGGTGGAGATTGTGTGGACTTAAAAATTGTAACCTAATATTTCCCCCCTCCTTTGCCAAATTTTTTACCCTCTTCTTTGCCAAATTTTTTTCCCTCTCCTTCTTTTGTCAAAACAATGGAAGACGGATATCTCAGTGTTGGTACTAAAATTGGAAATCTCCGATTCAGGTACTTCACAAAATCTGCCTTCTTAAACTAAGCTTCAGTCCTTAATTCATTTCCAACAAGCTCTAAAAGTACTGGTCCTTAGGATTTTTAAAATGTACAGGACTTTGGAAAAATAGTACCACTTTTCTTTTAAAAATAAAATTCATATTTGTTTTGGTACTACCTCGTCCTAAGTAGAAATTAGAACTATAGGGAATGAAAAATGATAGTTTTATTTTGGGCCTTGAGAACCCAATAGGAATAATTTCCCTTTAGTACATAGCTTTCTTTTCTTTTTGGGCCACTCTTTTGGGCTTAGCCAAACTAAAACAGTTATGATTCTCAAACCAAACGAAACTTATTTTCAAATTGGAACGGTTTCAATTCATTGGTAATTGGTAAAAGATTCCTTCCACTTTTCAACTTCTTGGAAGTTGAAACTCTTT